TTTTCCCCATGGAAAATCGGATCAGTTTGAGGCCACTTGCCCTGGATATCTGCATCCTTCCCGGTGGGAAATTTGCTATCATGGCTGATTTTCTCCAAAAGTAAAGCTGCTGGTAACGAGGACCCTGGAAGTCCTTAGAGCCCCAAAGGCTACCTTTCATCTGATACGCAGACCCTGGGGAAAGGACTTCTTTTTCCCATGCAAAATGGCCTCCATTTGCAGCCATTTGCCCTGGCCAACAGGGCAGTGCCCAGTGAGAAATTTTTACACTTTGCTGGATTCCTGTTGAACTAACGCTCATGGCAACTAGGAGCTTGCAAGTCCATAGAGCCCCAAAGGCCACCTTTCATCTGACACCCAGACGCTGGGGAAAGGACTTCATTTTCCCCATGGAAAATCGAGTCAGTTTGAGACCACTAGCCCTGGGCATCTGCATCGTTCCCGGTGAGAAATTCGCAAATGTGGCTGATTTTCTCCAAAAGTAAAGCTGCTGGCAAGGAGGACCCTGCAATTCCTTAGGGCCCCAAAGTCCACCTTTCATCTGATACGCAGACCCTGGGCCAATGACTTCATATTCCCCATGGAAAATGGCCTCCATTTCTGGCCTCTCGCCCTGACCAAGAGGGTGGTGCCCAGCAAGAAATTTGCAATCTTTGCTGGATTGCTCCAAATCTAAAGCTGCCAATCAGTAGTACCCTGCAAGTCCTTAGAGCCCCAAAGGCCACCTTTCATCTGACACCCAGACCCTGGGCCAATGACTTCATTTTCCCTATGGAAAATGGGGTCAGTTTGAGGCCACTCGCCCTGGCCATCTGCATCGTTCCCGGTGTGAAATTTGCTATCATGGCTGATTTTCTCCAAAAGTAAAGCTGCTGGCAAGGAGGACCCTGCAACTCCTTAGGGCCCCAAAGGCCACCTTTCATCTGACACCCAAACCCTGGGCCAATGACTTCATTTTCCCCATGGATAATGGCCTCCATTTCTGGCCCCTCGCCCTGACCAAGAGGGTGGTGCCCAGCAAGAAATTTGCAATCTTTGCTGGATCGCTCCAAATCTAAAGCTGCCAATAAGTAGTACCCTGCAAGTCCTTAGAGCCCCAAAGGCCACCTTTCATCTGACACCCAGACCCCGGGGAAAGGACTTCTTTTTCCAATGGGAAATGGCCTCCGTTTGCAGCCACTCACCCTGGCACAAAGAGGGGAGCCAAGCTGGAATTACCAACTCTTTGCTGGATTTTTCCAAAAGTAAAGCTGGCAGCGACTAGGATCCTGTAAGTCCTTAGAGCCTCCAAGGCCACCTAGAACATAGTACTGAGACACTGAGGAAAGACATTATTCCCATGGAAAAATCTGCATCGTTCCCGGTGTGAAATTTGCAAACTTGGCTAATTTTCTCCAAAAGTAAAGCTGCTGGCAACGAGGACCCTGTAAGTCCTTAGGGCCCCAGATGCCACCTTTCATCTGACACCCAGACCCTGGGCCAATGACTTTATTATCCCCATGGAAAATGGCCTCCATTTGCAGCCATTTGCCCTGGCCAACAGGGCTGTGCCCAGTGAGAAATTTGCAATCTTTGCTGGATTCCTCCACAACTAAAGCTGCCAGCAAGTAGGAGCTTGCAAGTCCTTAGAGCCCCAAAGGCCACCTTTCATCTGACACCCAGACCCTGGGGACATGACTTCATTTTCCCCATGGAAAATGGATCAGTTTGAGGCCACTTGCCCTGGATATCTGCATCGTTCCCGGTGGGAAATTTGCAAATGTGGCTGATTTTCTCCAAAAGTAAAGCTGCTGGCAAGGAGGACCCTGCAACTCCTTAGGGCCCCAGATGCCACCTTTCATCTGATACGCAGACCCTGGGCCAATGACTTCATATTCCCCATGGAGAATGGCCTCCATTTCTGGCCTCTCGCCCTGACCAAGAGGGTGGTGCCCAGCAAGAAATTTGCAATCTTTGCTGGATTGCTCCAAATCTAAAGCTGCCAATAAGTAGTACCCTGCAAGTCCTTAGAGCCCCAAAGGCCACCTTTCATCTGACACCCAGACCCTGGGGAAAGGACATCTTTTTCCCATGCAAAATGGCCTCCATTTGCAGTCATTTGCCCTGGCCAACAGGGCAGTGCCCAGTGAGAAATTTTTACACTTTGCTGGATTCCTCCACAACTAATGCTGCCGTCAACTAGGAGCTTGCAATCCTTAGAGCCCGAAAGGCCAGCTTTCATCTGACAACCAGACCCTGGGGACATGACTTCATTTTCCCCAGGGAAATTGGGGTCAGTTTGAGGCCACTCGCCCTGGCCATCTGCATCGTTCCCGGTGTGAAATTTGCAAACTTGGCTGATTTTCTCCAAAACTAAAGCTGCTGGCAATGAGGACACTGGAAGACCTTGGAGCCCCATGGCCACCTTTCATCTTACACCCAGTCACTGGGGAAAGGACTTCTTTTTCCCATGCATAGTAACCTCTCTTTGCCGCCATTTGCCCTGGCCAACAGGGCAGTTCCCAGTCAGAAATTTTTAAACATTGCTGGATTCCTCCACAAGTAAAGCTGCCAGCAAGTTGGAACTTGCAAGTCCTTAGAGCCCTAACGTCCACCTTTCATCTGACACCCAGACCCTGGGGAAAGGACTTCTTTTTCCCATGGGAAATGGCCTCCGTTTGAAGCCACTCACCCTGGCAGAAAGAGGGGAGCCAAGCTAGAATTACCAAATCTTTGCTGGATTTTTCCAAAAGTAAAGCTGGCAGCGACTAGGATCCTGTAAGTACTTAGAGCCTCCAAGGCCACCTAGAACATAGTACTGAGACACTGAGGAAAGACATTTTTCCCATGGAAAAATCTGCATCGTTCCCGGTGTGAAATTTGCAAACTTGGCTGATTTTCTCCAAAAGTAAAGCTGCTGGGAACGAGGACCCTGGAAGTCCTTAGAGCCCCAAAGGCCACCTTTCATCTGACAGCAAGACGCTGGGGAAAGGACTTCTTTTTCCCATGCATAGTAACCTCTCTTTGCAGCCATTTGCCCTGGCCAACAGGGCAGTGCCCAGTGAGAAATTTTTAAACATTGCTGGATTCCTCCACAACTAAAGCTGCTGGCAACAAGGAGCTTGCAAGTTCATAGAGCCCCAAAGGCCACCTTTCATCTGACACCCAGACCCTGGAGACATGACTTCATTTTCCCCAGGGAAATTGGGGTCAGTTTGAGGTCACTCGCCCCGGCCATCTGCATCGTTCCCGGTGGGAAATTTGCAAACTTGGCTGATTTTCTCGAAAAGTAAAGCGGCTCGCAACGAGGACCCTGGAAGTCCTTGGAGCCCCAAAGGCCACCTTTCATCTGACACCCAGACCCTGGGGAAAGGACTTCTTTTTCCCATGCAAAATGGCCTCTATTTGTAGCCATTTGCCCTGGCCAAAAGGGCATTCCCCAGTGAGAAATTTCTTAACATTACTGGATTCCTGCAGAACTAACGCTGTTGGCAACAAGGAGCTTGCAAGTCCTTAGAGCCCCAAAGGCCTCCTTTCATCTGACACCAAGACCCTGGGGAAAGGACTTCTTTTTCCCATGCAAAATCCCCTCTATTTGTAGCCATTTGCCCTGGCCAAAAGGGCAGTGCCCAGTGAGAAATTTTCACACTTTGCTGGATTCTTGCTGAACTAACGCTGTTGGCAACTAGGAGCTTGCAAGTCCTAAGAGCCCCAAAGGCCACCTTTCATCTGACACCCAAACCCTGGGCCAATGACTTCATTTTCCCCATGGAAAATGGGGTCAGTTTGAGGCTACTAGCCCTGGCCATCTGCATCGTTCCCGGTAGGAAATTTGTAAACTTGGCCGATTTTCTCCAAAAGGAAAGCTGCTGGGAACGAGGACCCTGGAAGTCCTTAGGGCCCCAAAGGCTACCTTTCGTCTTATACGCAGACCCTGGGGAAAGGACTTCTTTTTCCCATGGGAAATGGCCTCCGTTTGCAGCCACTCACCCTGGCAGAAAGAGGGGAGACAAGGCAGAATTACCAAATCTTTCCTGGATTTTTCGAAAAAAAAAGCTGGTAGCAACTAGGACCCTGGAAGTACTTAGAGCCTCAAAGGCCACCTTGAACATATTACTGAGACCCTGGGTAAAGGATATTTTTCCCATGGAAAATGGCCTTCATTTGTGACCACTTGGCCTGGCAGGCAGGGCAGTGCTAAGTGAGAAATCTGTAAACTGTTCTGGATCCTTCCAAAACAAAAGCTGCCAGCAACTAGGACCCTGCAAGTCCTTAGAGCCCCAAAGGCCACCTTTCATCTGACACCCAGACCCGGGGGAAAGGACTTCTTTTCCCATGGGAAATGGCCTCCGTTTGCAGCCACTCACCCTGGCAGAACGAGGACCCCGGAAGCCCTTAGAGCCCCAAAGGCCACCTTTCATTGATAGGCAGACCCTGGAGACATGACTTCATTTTCCCCATGGAAAATCGGATCAGTTTGAGGCCACTCGCCCTGGCCATCTGCATCGTTCCCGGTGGGAAATTTGCAAACATGGCTGATTTTCTCCAAAAGTAAAGCTGCTGGTAACGAGGACCCTGGAAGTCCTTAGAGCCCCAAAGGCTACCTTTCATCTGATACGCAGACCCTGGGGAAAGGACTTCTTTTTCCCATGGGAAATGGCCTCCGTTTGCAGCCACTCACCCTGGCAGAAAGAGGGGAGACAAGGTAGAATTACCAAATCTTTCCTGGATTTTTCCAAAAGTAAAGCTGGCAGCAACTAGGACCCTGTAAGTACTTAGAGCCTCAAAGGCTACCTTGAACATATTACTGAGACCCTGGGTATATTACATTTTTCCCATGGAAAATGGCCTTCATTTGTGGCCACTTGGTCTGGCAGGCAGGGCAGTGCCAAGCGAGGAATCTACAAACTGTGCTGGATCCTTCCAAAACAAAAGCTGCCAGAAACTAGGACCCTGCAAGTCCTTAGAGCCCGACGCTTTCTAAGCAGAGAAGCACAACAAGGAACAATCTGAAACAATCCTTAAAAAAATCTGCCAGTTTTATTTAGCATGTATGCAACTGATTTCCACCCTATACCTTCTCTGTTGGATTTGTCTGTAGGTTCAGGAAGATGATAGTGCATACTCTACCTTCCCTGAACCCCCCCACACCAGTTGAGCGCTGCTCAGCGCGTTCAGATAATCGGGAACTGGGTTACACACACCCAGATGGACCGGAACTCCGCTGCTGGAGATTCAGGAGACGAGAGCAGAGAGGCGCTGGCCGAGGCGTTGTCCCAATTCTATTTCTGTGTGATGAGAAGTAGCTTGTTTCTAACAGCTGCAACAATCCTCAGCTCGCTCCCATGGTGAGTATTAATGGCATACAGATGGCAGCCTGAGGAAATAATGGTCTAGGCTCTAAGTGGCTGGGACTGTTGCCACCACTTGGGGTGTGGTGTCCCAGGTCGACGACGGTTCAGTGGCGGCGCCTCTGCCACATGGGCCAAGCACATGCATATACCAATGTGGTGGACAGTAACTGGCATTTATTATTGGTTATGCAGGGTCTTTTATAACAGGGGGTAACGGTCAGTAACAGTAAAAGGGGAGGGGTTCTGCGTGACCTCGTGATATCTCCCCACATTTCCCCCCCCTTTTATGACCAGTTAAAAACATAAAGCAAAACTGACAAGTAGGAAACATGTGTAACTGGCAAAATGCAATTAACTTGAACAACATAACACAACTGCAATAAACTTGTAACTGCAAATGTTTAACAAACGAAAAGCTAACTATCTCTAACTGTTTTTTTCTAAGAAAAAAAACCAACACAAACTTTTTTCACATGTAAGGCAATCAGTCATGGGGGCTGACTGAACCCTGTCTTTGAATATCTTTGTAGGACCTCCTCAGCTTTTTTTTTTTTTTTTTTTTTAGTTGACCTCCTAGGACTGAATTATTTTCCCAGAGTCTGCAACCTGTTTGATCTTAAACTAGAGAGGATTTGGAGAGTCCATGTCCGGACTTATGTTCCCTCCAAATCGCCCTTTGATCCTTTGACGCAGGGAAGAACTCTGGGTTACTTGGCATTCCATCCAAGTAGAGCCAGAACCTGGCCAGAGCTCGAACTCTACTTGATGGATACCTCTTAACATTTTTGCTTAGCTGTTTTTCCCCCCTGTCCTTCTCTGTGCCAGCCACTCCTTTAGTTCGGTCACTGAGTTCATTCACGACCCTGGTATGGTCTGCCATCCGGCTGCTTGATGATTCGTCGCAGCCTTTAGGAAGCCGGGTATACGGGCCGCGGGGGTGTCTGAGGATTCAGTCCTGCAAAACAAACTTTACAAAGTTCATTAGTTTTTGCCCTGAAGGTATGGTTTTATCGACTTAAGCGGGCACCATTTGATTTTACTATTTTTCTTGATGGCTTCGTACCCTCACCCTGTGAGTACCAGCCTCCAACCCTGTTCTCATTCCCCTAGTTCATTTTTAATTATGACCTGTGAGCCTTCCTCAAGTGCTTGGGTGGCCCAGTGTCACAATGTTAAGGTGTTCTTCTGGCCAGAAAGATCTGTTCACTGTATAGTTTGCTAAACAGTAGGCTGCTGCAGCAATTTGTGAAGGAAGGTACTCCAGAAGAGGATCAACTTGAAGGAGACTCAGCTCTGCAAGATACCTTGCAAAGTTCTCTGTCCTCATACAGATTCCATGTCTCTGAATATACTGAAGGAGGAACTGGTTGACAGTTGGGGCTGTTAGGTCAAAACCCAGCACTTTGAGAAGCAAGTGTTCCGTTCTTAGCAGCTGCTTCTTTGTGTAGGTATCCTCTGTTATATAGACAAATTCATCCACATCTGGTGGGTAGATCTCTTCATACTTTGCAGCCAGAAGAATTGCTGCTGTTGCCACAAGCTGTAACTTCCCTCTGAGAGCAGACATGCAGGAAAGAAACCTCTCCAGGAAGTTCACTGCCAAATACAAAGTCTCTGTCCAAAGTTTATACTCTTCCCCTACTTCCTCCAGCCAGTCTACCAGGATAGCATGCATTCCTGTTGTGATATCTGGCTGCTTCTTCATGTAGTAGGGCTTGGGCCTAAATCTTACTTCTGCCTCTCAGAGGTACTGAGAGGTACTAAATGTCTTCTGCATACTCTCCCACAGCCAGAGTTACAACATCTTCCACTACCGTAGGAGAGCCTGAACTCAGATCCAGCTGCCGATGAATACTGGATATCAGTGCACTGGTATCCAGTTCACAGTGGCTTAATTCCAGCTCTTCAGACACTTGGCAGCTGTAGTTTTCTTTATCTTCTGAATCATCTATGTAGATAGCAAAACCTTGCTTTGATGCAGCACTGATGATGCAGTTAGGCACTTCATTTTTTCTACATGAAGTGATAGTGTTTTCAAAGCCAGAAAAGCAATTGATAACAGCAGCACCCTGGCCACCGGGCCACTGCTGCCTGTTCTCCGTCAGCACCCCCAGCACGGCCCAGCCGCCGCTGCTGTGGAGGGCGGCGGGGCAGGACTCCCGCCGCCCCGCACGGCTCTTCTCTCCGGTGCGATGCATCGCCCCGACGTCGGTACCGCACTGCCCCGCTCCGCTCGCCACCAGCCCACGGAAGGGTCCAGCCGCCCCGTGCCACCCAGGCTGCCCGCCGGCCCTGCGTAGGCGCGGCCCCTGGAGGCAGCGGCTGTTGGCCGCGGCTGGTTGGGAGGCCGGCGGCTCAACCCCCGGCACGCCACTTCACCAGCCACGCCGGCTGCGGGCCCCCATGGTGACACCGCCCCTCTGGGGCTTGTCACCCTGCGGCGCGTAAGGCGGAGGCCCCGCCCAGGCTCCCTTCAACCTCCCTTCGGAGGTGCCTCGCACCTCCGAGTTAATGGCAGGGCTCTGCACCTCTGAGCTAACGGCCGCGCCCTGTGCCTCTGAACCAACGACCGCGCTCTGCGCCTCTGAGTTAACGGCCGCGTTCCATGCTTCCTTTAGCAGCCCGTCCCAAAATGACAGCTTTTTCCCGGTAGATGGGGTGCCTGGGCTCGGGAGCTGCGAAGAGTGCTCCCGCAGCTGCGAATCCCCACACTCAGCGGACCCACGATCATCCGCACCCTGCCAGGGACCCTTCCACAAGCAGTCCTGGGTGGCCTTCCACTTCCCCCACTCCTGCTGGACCGGCTGAGCCTTTTTCAGAGCCCGCATGACCCATGATTTTAGACTCCGCCCCAAGCCTGAGGACATAGCCTCCTCCGCTAGGGCCCCAGTACAATTATCCCATACTTCCGGGCAGAAGATATCCTCCAGATGCCTGATTACCCCAGCGCGCAGGAGCCTCGACACTGTGAGGACAAAATCTCCTGGCTCACAATCTATGCCCCAATCTCTGAATTTTAAAAATTACCTTAGCAAGGGGCTCCATCCTCTCCACCGCTGGCTACTGACACTGGACTTCCTCCTTCACCAGGTCCTGGGGCGAGACTTCCTCCTTTGCTGAATCACGACATGAGACCTCCTCTTCCGCCGGCTGCAACACAAGCCCTCCTCCTTCGCCAATTTTCTGGTGCAAGACTTCCTCCTTCGCCACTCCGGCGTGAGCCTTCCTCCTTCATCGGTCCTAGGTGCGAGCCTTCCTCCTTCGCCACTCCGGCGTGAGCCTTCCTCCTTCGTCGGTCCTAGGCGCGAGCCTTCCTCCTTCGTCGGTCCTAGGCGCGAGCCCTCCTCCTTCGCCGAATGCCAGTGGGAGACCCTTCCCTCTTGCCAGTCCTCTGGGAGCATCCTCCCTGCCGGAGACAGTCCTGCTGCTCCGGCTGCCGTCCACTCGCCCAGGCGATTCCCGCTTCCCGGATTGTTCCCGGGTTTCAGCACCACTTGTTGCTGCCGCTTGGGGCGTGGCGTCCTGGGTCGAGGACAGTTCAGTGGTGGCGCCTCTGCCACATGGGCCAAGCACATGCATACACCAATGTGGTGGACAGTAACTGGCCTTTATTAACGGTTATGCAGGGTCTTTTATAACAGGGGGTAACGGTCAGTAACAGTAAAAGGGGAGGTGTTCTGCGTGACCTCGCGATATTTTCCCACATGCAACAGGGTCTGATTTTTTTCTTTTGTATTTGTATGATGATCGGTACAACAGGGCTCTGATGGATGACTCGGCAACACGCAATTAAAAACTCCTCCATAGGATTACATGGACTTGTAGGAAAAGACAAAAGCCTATCACCCTTCTGAAATCTCCTTTTAATCCAAAGCATGTGGATTGTCACTGTACTGCAACTTCCAGGTTTTCAAAGCAGCTTACTTCTGAAGACCAGGAAACATTTATTTCTACAGAAACAATGGGCAACACCCAGGCTAATCTAAGCACTACTGTTTGTTAGGGGATCTGCAAGTGTGCCAGTCCAGCTTAAAGTGGGCTTTACACCAGTGTAACATCTCCACAAAATTCTTCCCGGATCTCCCGACCCCAAAATCTTATTTTTTCCTAAAGCTTCTCATCATTAGTGATTTCCAAGTAACATGGTTTTTTTACAACATTCAAAAATGTCATGCTGGACTGAACTAGAGAGTAATTTTCAAATATAAGCTTAGCAAAGTTTGAATTGACTCGTCCAGACAGAAAACCTACAAGTGAACACCTACACCTGCCTAAAAAGACCTAATGAGCCCCTGGCAGCCACTGGCATCAAAGCATAGCGGATGTTTCTAATACAGAGTAAGGATAACAATATCACCTTTTGTTCTCTCCAGTTTGTTTCCTCTGCAGTCATATTTGCTTCTTATGATTTTTACAGTCTCTGTATCTTCTCGGACAGCACTGAGTCTGACGACCAGGATACGAGAGTCTTTCCCTGCCCTATGGAGAGAACCAGGAAGAAAAGTTAAAAAAAGAACACGGCAGTTTGAAGTTAATACTTCCGATGAGAAGCAGCACCTAACAAACAGAGCAACAGTGAACAAAGCATGATACCTCCCTGGGGACAGAAGACTTACAAACTCTCCGGGATTTACAATTCTAGTAACCAAGCCCTTCAGCACAGCAGCCAAGTGTCCCATTAGGTGGTGCTGCACCAAAGAATGATCTGAGAGGTTCCAAAGAGTGAAATGCACATTATTTTCCAAAGACATAAAATCTTGCAAAATAACAAAACTACAATAGATATAAACTACAGGGCAAGAGTACAAGTGTTAACTTGAGGAGCTGGAACCATCCAGGTGAGCAACTGATAACTGGATCCTCAACAGAGTTTGAGGAACCCTTCAGGATACAGAAGGGTTTTCCCCAGAAATTTCACAGGCTGAGTTTTGATATAAGTACACTTGCCAGATGCTCAGAAATGTCACCCATTCTCCGGGTGTCTTGAGAGAGCTGTGAATGGCTCTCACGTAGTTTGAGCTGGTTCTGTAAGGTCTCAGGGTGAATTTCACCAGATGCAACCAAATTGGGCAACTCCCAGTGGGACAGAAGGAACCCAAAGCTTGTTTTACCCAAAGCTTGGGTAAGCAAAGCTCCAGCAAATACTGAGGAAACGGACATAACAGGGTAACAAATTATAAACCTACTTTTTTTTTTTTTTAAATATTGCTTTTTTTTTTTCTTTTCGGATGAGCAAAACAATTAAGGAGAAGGTGAAAAACTCACCATGACTGAACATTTCATCATCTGTAAGCTGACCATCCTTAGCATAGAGGACTCCAAATTTAAAATTCACCGCTCCCTGGGAAATAAAACCAGATATTGTATGATAAACAGTCAAACAGAAGACGTAAGAATTTGTTTCCTCCAAGGACTTTCACGTATGTATGTATCTTTGTATGCATTCTACGCATTAGAATGTACATTTTATACCATTTCCCAATACATAACAATTTACCTTTAAACTTTGATAGTATAGCATCAAATCATTAACTTAAATCGTTGCTCTATTATTGTTAAGTTGGTGCTTAAAGTTATTTTTGCTGTCATGTTCAAAAAAACATTACTTATTTTTACTGTAACGAGCAATTGATTTCCAAGTAATCATAAGCCCATCAAAATACAAAGCTGTATTCACTGGACGGGTCTGTGAGCTAGAAGTAGTTAGGCTTATATTTACCTCTTGCTCTTCCAGAACCAATAAATCCTGTCAACAAAACCAGTATCTTTAGCCCCCTCCTATTAAAGATTCTGCAAGGATGATGGTTTTATTTCCGTTTAGAAGTTTGGATTTGAAATGGCCAGTTCAATGGATAAAGACAGTTTAAGTAGTATTACATTATTATTATTATTATCCTCATTATTATTATTATCTGCTACTGGAAGAGACAAACTAGTAGTATCTATACTTAATTACTTCTATTTCCCAAAAATAATAAAGAAAAAGAACCAAACAAAAAAAAGTCACTTCCTACCTTTTGTATCTCAGGATGAAAAATTTCTCTTGGGCTCTTCTCCAATTTATCAAGACTCATAGCACTGAAATGCAAATGAACGAGTGCTTTATAGGAGGGCAAGTGCACATTTCAACCCCGACCACCAACCGATTGCAGTTGCAGTGCTTACAAAATGAATCATTCCCAGAGCCTCTGGGAAATGGAATGGTTTGTGCAACTGCCATTTCTTTCCCAAAATACTAATTTCCAACACTTCCTAAACTTAGTTTGCATTTTAAAAACAGAAGTTAGGGAGACTCTGGGTGGAGATCAGGTTTAAATTGATTTCCTTCTAAAGCACAGGGCTCTGTTCCATCACCCTTCACCTTTGGCTCCACACAGAATCACCGGGAGCATTTTAGGAGGGCTCAATAACCAATTCTATTTGTCTTTTTCTAGTTCTCTCTCTTCCTAAATAATTCAAGGCAAGTCAAATGAGAAATGACAAGTTCAGCATCAAATTCACACTTTTTCCCTTTGTCTGCTCAAGAACAGGCTTTAAAACCACTTCTTGCTGCCTTCAACGATTAAGACTTGCAAAACCATTTTTACGTGTTTTATAGATTTATCATAAAAAACACAGAACACAAGCTCTGAATTACAGGAAAAGGTACACAGGCAAATATCTAAACTGATGGCTTATTTGACAATCCATACCTTAACAGAGATTGCACTGAGAATGGTTTTGTGGGACTCTAAGGGAGACAGATTTTGTGAGTGCCCTGTAAACAAGAAAAGCTAGGATATATTACAGGACATACCCACTTGTCCTGCATATTCAAACAGGATTATCAATAAAAACATTTCAGTAAAAAAAGAAGGAAGAAAACCAAGGTAATTTTACTCAGCTATATTTACTGCCGATTTAGAGAAAAAAAAAAAGTCACGGGTGCTGCAAAGAAAAAAAAAGTGAACCATAAACGCCTACAGTAGTACTTTAAAACAATTGCTTGGATAAAAGCAGCTCGTGGAACATGAAGTAGAAAAAAAGCGAAACCAGTATCAGACCTGCCTGTTTTCTTACCATTGCACAAGAAAATCCGACAAGCAGTATAAAGTCACTGCCTAAAACCGATCCTAGGATGCAACCAAGAATAATTGAGGCATTTGCTAATCTAAACGGAAACTTTTTCTGGATCCTAGTGTCAAATCACACGTTTTGTCTTTCAGAAGCTCGAGGCGGGAGAGCATTTCCCCTGGGGGTCGGGAGGGTAGGGGCACAAGGGGCTGAGTTTGCCGATCGCACCTGTGCCATCAGAAGGATCCAGCCCGGCGCTCCTTGCGCTCGCCATTCTCCGGGCCATCGCTGTGTTTTACTGCTCAGCGATGCCGCTCCATCTGTTTGCGTGGAAGAAAGAGCCACGAGCACTGAGGCACTCAGCAGCCGTGTCATTCCAGCGATATCGAGCGCTCTCTGCTCGCAAGGCTGAGCACGCCGCGGAGCCGCCTCCGCAGCCGCTCGTCCGCCCCCGCCCGCAGCAGCGGCAGCGGCCCGAGGGAGACGGCTGCAGCTCGGCGGCTCCCGCGCCTCCGCCAGCCCGAGGGCAGCCGCCGCACAGTGACCGCGGCAGCGCCCGGCGCCGCTCGCCCGGGGCGGCTCCTGCAGCTCCCGGCCCGCGGCAGCAAAGCACCGCCTGGCGCTCCGCCATCGGCGGGCGGCAGCGCGCCCCGCCCGAGCTGAGCCCCCGCCACCGGTACCGCTGAGCGAGGTCGAGGAACCGGGCGGACGCCCCTTCCGCGCCGCTCGGCTCCGTGCGGGGGGCCGGACGGAGGCTTCGCCCCTCCAGCGTCGCTGCAGCGGCTCCGTCCCGCGTGGGACAGGCGCCGGGAGCTCCCCGCGCACAGCCCCCTCCGCCGGCGCGCGGCTGCCTTGGCCCGCCAGCCACTCATATGGCGCGTCGGCCGTTGCGTCAGACGCCGCGCTTTACGGCCGCAGGGCCTGACGGGAGTTGTAGTCTCGGACTGACAGCTACCGCTCCGTTTTCCGCCACCGGGAGCTGCGGTCCCGCCAGGGGATCAAACGGCTCCTTCGCTCCTGGGCGGGGGAGGACCTTAGGCAGCACCGCCCCTCCCGAATGTCCTTTCTTTTCCACTCCAACTCTTTTTTTCCTTTTTTCACTCTGTTTTTCACCCCCTTTTCCACTCTAACTCTTCCTTTTTCACTCTCACCCTTTTCCTTTTTCACTTTTCTTTCTTCCTTTCTCTTCCTTATTTTCTTTCTCTCTCTCTTTCTCTCTCTTTCTTTCTCTCTCTCTTTCTTTCTCTCTCTCTCTTTCTTTCTCTCTCTCTCTTTCTCTCTCTTTCTCTCTCTCTTTCTCTCTCTCTCGCTTTCTTTCTCTCTCTATCTTTCTCTCTTTCTTCCTTTCCCTGTATTTCTAATCTTGGCTTTCCATTCTAGCTTTAGAATAAAACAGCAGCAGTAGAAACGTTCAGGCTACCTGGGAGTGCAAAAAACCCCAAAACGGTAATGATTTTAGGAAAACTATTTCCTCTATGGGAGCCTGAAATTTTCTACAGCTGCAGGTGACATAGAGCTTTTATTTCTTCTTCTATATTGTTTATTTATACAGCGCCCCCTGCCGTCTGCACCGGCGAACTGCAGGCAGAGTGCCGCCTAATGACGTCACCTCGTCGACACGGCGCCCCGCCCCGGCCACGCCCCCAGCGTTCCTTGGAAAGACCCCAAGGCGTAGCCGTTTTGCCAGCTGCCTGATCAAAATGCCGACACCCACCTCGAGCTCTAGAAACGATTTCCCGCGACGCCTAACCCTGCAGGCGAACCGGAATGCCATCACCGCAATTGAAACGCCACAGAAAATCTCGTCGGGGCCTCGCCGGCGTCGGTTTCCGTGCAGGCATTCCGGATAGACCGCCGGGGGTCCTCCATTTTTCCCGCCCTTTTGGCCGCCCTTTTGAGAAGGTCAAACAAAGTCCGCCACGCGCCGCTCCCAAGAGGGCGGCCTCTCGGCTGCCTGTCGGCGGCGGGCTGCAGTACCGCGCTCTGCCCACAAGGCGGCAGCACTGCCTCCCACCCCAGCCGGGGGCGCCGCGCGCCTTGGGGCTGCGGGCAGGGAAGGCGGCAAAAAAGAACATGGGCGATCTCCCCCCAAAACTGCTCTGAAATAAATGCCCCAAAACAACCAGGAAGAAGAAAAAAACCCGCCTGCCTCTAACTAATAGGATAAAAAAAAAAAAACCAACCCCAAACCCAACAATTTATTTTAAAAATATTTAAATATTTTTAAAATATTTTTTCATATTAATATTCACCTTTCTATTTATAATGTATATTGATGTATATTTATACATTTCTATTTATAAATAAATTTATATTCTATATTACATCTACTTGAATTTATTTCTATATTTTTATACATATTTTTACATAGTAAGTATATATTTGTTAGGATTTTTGCTTCTGTAATGCTTACATTATTTAAAATAATTCCACTGCCTCTACCCGTATAAAAGCCAAAAAGAACCCCTTTAATTTTGACTGTATTTAAATTTGTAAAATTTTTTTTTTTTTTCATATTTATATCCTAACCCTAACCATTGAACCCAAATACCTCTCAGTTACTGGCAACATTAGCAATCACAAGGGATATCAGGTCTTTACTGATTTTCAGCTCCTTTTGATTCTGGTATTTGGCTTGCTAAAGTTCCTCAGGTAGGCCAGCAGACACAAAATGAGAGAGGAAAAGGCTATTATGGCATTCTTCAGTGATGTCTTATTGTGTGGTCTGCAAAGGGTTCCAGCGACAGCTCCTCTGCCGAACCGGGCTAAAACAGCCCCTTATATACGAGATAGGGGGATCCGAAATTGTCCAATAGCAGGGATTAAGGAGCCGTCACCTATGAGCTTACAGAGAGGTAAGCATGAGTCCGAAAGGCAGAAGACATGGGCTTCCTGCTATTCACTATGAGTTGGCATTTCTATCTTTATACCTCTGCTCTCCACGGGGCCTTTACAGTCCCTGTGCCTGCTGCATGGCAGTGCTCTCCAGAGTTCACCGAGCCCTGTCCTTCTCAATAGTGCATTTGTAATGGTAGAAGGTGTTGTGCTAATGAATCTTTGCAGCTGGATACTCTCATTTCCCAGCACAGGGGAACCATGCTTGACACACCTCTGGAAAGCAAAACTGTGCAAAAAGGGTAGAAGAGGGGAATGCTTTGAAAAGCTGTGATTTCTTGCACTAGAATTTCAACTGAGATTGCTGGTCTGGCACAAAGCCAGTGGGAGCAGCACTTCAACCTTTCTGTGATGCTCCTTGGTTATGCCACCAGCAGCTGAAGGATAACTGTGGGGAAGCTCTGGTATTGGTGCCTTGTTCAGCAGCAGTCCAGTGGGATGATCAGCACTTGAGCACCTGCTATGTTGTGTTTAACTCTTCTTCCTGAGGTTACTTGATGTTTTAGTACAGAAGAAAAGCCAAAAGAACAGTGCCCAGCTGTGAACTCACCTGCTGCCTCCATCCTGGCCCCACTTTCAGCTCTCCAAGCCAAGGGCTCTCAGCTACCCCTGTCCAGGGCTGCTGAAAGCAACGTCGCCCTCTCCTCTGAGGTGAAGGTCACTGGGACATGGGGTCTTGGGACACCATGCATCCTCTTACTCCAGATGCTCCCATGGACTCATAGCCCTGGAAGTCTTTCCAGATGGAAAGCCTTGCTCCGGCAGTGTGTGAAGATTTCAAAATGATGAAGGAACATGAGATGTGGAGAGTGGAAGTGTGTAAGGTGGGAATGAATATACTGGAAACAAGGAGAAGACCCCATCAGACAGTAATTAAGGTCTGACCATTGTGGTACTGTGCTGGACAGAGTAAATTAGGGACTGAAGGGTTGTCCTCCATCCCACAGGGGCAGCTGCTTTCTTGGAGTCCTTATTTCAGCAATGACAGAATACTTCACCTGCTGAGAGAAACATCGTCATAACTTTGCCAAGCAAGGAATTGCAGGGATCTACCAAAAAGGCAATTGTCTCCTCTGCTCCCCTTGACCATAGAATTTTCCCAAGAAAAGTCTTCATGGCCCCAAGTAAAATAGTACAGACTACCCCATCCCTAGTACATACATATTTCTCCTCCTTACCATAGGGAAAGGAGTAGCAGGGACTCTCCCAGCCAGATCAGCATCAACTTCCCCTCGACCCTCATGCACAAGTTCCTCAGAAGACAGAAAAATGGACAGCAAGACAAAATCAGAGGGAAAAATAGGCTGTTGTGGACACAATTCCCTCATCTGTTGCCCTGTCCACACCAGCTCCGGAGAGACAACAAAGCACTGAGGAGGAACATTATGTGCAGCCTCATCAGAACTATTGGAGGCAACTAAAGAATTTATTGATGTTTGAAATAAGCCAAAAGATCCCGAGCAATATGACAATGCGTAACCTAACTGATGAATAACCTAACCTAACCCAACCGATGAATTTATTGATGTTTGAAATAAGCATAGATGAATGAAAAACATCCCAAGTGATATCGCAGTGCAGTGTAGCACAGAGGCTGAGAAGGGGCAAAACTGAATAACCTCACTCAGCTTCAGTCCTGTACAGATCACAGAAGGGGAAGAATGGAGCAGCAGAGCATCGAGTTTTTGTGCTGAGTGAAAGGAAATGCAAAAATCTAGCAGCTGCTCATGCACAAGCGCAGTCAGCTGCATATGATTTTGCTTTTTGAAAAACTCACCAGTGCCTTTGATCTTCATCCAGATCTTGATCTCTGGATCCTGGTACTTTTCCCAAGTGTTCTGATTTGCATGTTTATACTTTCTTATGTGACTTTCAGAAACTTTTGGTCCAAACTAGAACTTGCGGTTTTCTGAGACCACTACATTTTCTGACTACAAACGATACATATCTGCAGTTTACCAGCCTGTCTATATCTGCTCTTTTACAGTATAAAACTGGTAATTTGAATAATTCACCACCTGAATTTCAATGATTGAAAAAGTCTTCTTACTCAGTTCTATTATTCTCTATATTTCCTTCTCTTTATCATGTTACTTTGGCAGTTATGTGCACACACAATGGCTACTGTGCTGCCATGGTGAGACATCACATGTACAGGCTCTTCTAATTTTTTCACAGATTAAATAGTTCATAATCCTCGTAGGAAACTTGCTGGATGTCTCTCATTGTCACTGCTTCTGTTTAGATTCCTTGCTCTTCTGAATCATTCCCTGTCTTCCTGCTCACACTGTGAGTAACCAATTTCTAATTTTCTTTCCTATCTGGCTTTACCAATCTTTCTCTGAATTAGATGCTTTTTAAATCAGCCATGTGAAGTTAAATAAATTTAAATAACTTTGTAGCAAGAAGAGTGCTAAATTCAAAAAACAAATATAGTTTGGGCGTTTTATTCACTGAGGAGTTAAAAGGTATTATGCACTCAATTGCTATAGTCATTTCTCTGGCAAATTTTACAGAACTGCAGCATTCTGTGTTTTGAGCTTATAGGGAGAGGTTTCCAGGCCGTAATCTCACATAACTTTAGACATCTGAAATTAATCTATGTATCCTAAATAGTCAATAGAAATACAAATACAGAACAGGAGGTGAGATTCATCTTACCATGTGTCTTGAAAAGGGGTATCTATGTGTGAAAGAGATTCTAGTCAGAATTCTGCTCAGTAGAGTCAGTAAAGTTTAGAGAGTTGACAATTTTATTCTGAGGTATATATCCACAGAGGCTGAGTGTCTCTCCATGCTCCAGTGCC